GGAGGCCATTTGAGCACAATTAGCACAGCAGCTGGCTTAGCTTGGTTTTTGTTTCCATTCAACCAACAGCACAGTTGCAATTTTACAGCCTAGTCCATCCATGCCAATTGAGAAAACAACAAACACATTTGTTTGGGCAGGTACATCCTTGTGACCAGCAATGACGGGTCAGTAGCGGGAGGTGAATGCTAAAATGTCAGCAACAGTGAAAGCACCCTTTACCTTTTTCATTTAACCTTTTTCATTTAACTCAGAGTTTTTTTCCTTTAAAAAGCTCCTCTCCTTTTGGCTCATGGGGGCTTCTGACATCTGCCGCTGCACTGGCCTCCCACTCCCACTACACTACCGACTGACACAAGACCACAGGCACATCACTAACACAACTTACAACAGTACTGACAAATGTATGTTTATAGCCGGATCCCAGCTGATCCTCATCATCATCTATCATCAAGCAACAGACACCCACTGCCAACAAAATGATTAGCCGCAATCGGATTTTTCCGTGTCAGTTTTGGAGAGAAATACATGACAACGGAAAAGGGATGCAAGAAAATAAATACGACTGCACAGTATGTATGCACATGTATCTCACTGTCGTCTTCAACACTGAATCCAAGTTTTGGCCACACAGCACGCTTAATGTGCTGAAGCCAAGTTGACAAAGGTTCTCTATTACTCATGAATGACAATACGAAAAAGGTGACATCGCATCAGTGAATGCAGACGTGAATGTTTCTGCTAGTACAGCTCGCCGTGGCCTCAATATATGGCAAAGCTCAACGCAGTGCATTAAAGCGAATTATCATGCACTTCGTATTCTTCAGTGGAATGCGAACAAACGGGCCTGTTCAAAGCAAATGCAGCTGTAACTCGCCCTGTCAAACTTTCCAACGCTTCATTATAATCCAACAGTACTTCATCAGATCTTTAGCCAGACACATATAAAATTCCTGTAGTTGAAACTGCGTCCAATTCTAATCTTCAGCCAGCTAATCTGCCATGTACGTAATACTCCAACTGGCTTTGTACAGTCTATCATTAAGGTGACTAGAGAGCTGTAACTCTAACTTGCACGATAGCCAGCCTTTCACCCTTGCTTATTTCATTTAGCTTGCAACTAGCTTGCTGGCTAAATACAACAGGTGTAGACCCTACAGGTGTCCGGTTTGAGAGAGGACATGCGGCTGCCCTGTCCGCAAAAGCTCGTCGAATCACACCTGTTTGTACGGCAAATTGCGGCCTATGAATCGGCAACACGGAGTAGACATGTGCACACTCTCTAGCTACCTTGCTAGTTAGATCAGCTGAGTAACTAAAGCAGCAGGCCAGTCGCCAAGCTGAGACCTTCCTCTGGAAACTTGAATGTTAATTACTTGCTGCTAGGTTATTAGTAACCCTTAAGCTAACAAGCGTTCTTGTCTTGTCTGCATGTCACTGTGTCTAGTCACTGGTTTGTTAGTTATTTAGCTAGCGTTAGCCAGCTAACTAATACTTCCCTCCACTAGGTGAACTATCAAGCTAGTACGAGACTCAACTTGGCATACCTTCTCTACTTGCGTGTCTTGATTTTCATTTTTTGTAGACTTTTCCTTGTCTTTCTTGTTCTTTTTTGAGACGCTGGACCCGGGTGCTGCCACGTTCTCCTTCGCTTTCCCCTTATCCTTTTTCTTCTTTTTATCCCGCTTAGCAAAGAAATCGTCCAGACTCTTCTCAGCACCAGTCGTTGCGATATCCGCCATTTTCTTCTTAAAATTAACAGTAGATAAATATAACTCGTAGATTTCAAATACTTCAGTGACGTGGCTTCAGAAAATAAACGCGATCCTCTCCAGATGCCTTGCGATCTTCTTTTCACGCGTTCATTTAAAAAGACAGTTGGCTACCTACCCAGCTTTATCAACTCCGCTCCTGAGCCGCAAACTGACATGCTCAATACATCGACCGGATGTGCAACCTACCCCTTGTGCTGCCCGGGAGCCGGACACCGGTCGTCGACAAAGTCAGCAGCCAATCCCAGAAAGGCTAAATGAGACATGAACCAATGGTTGAAAGGGGATTGTTTTGTTGTGATTTTGTTGTGATTTTGCATAGACATATGTATTTTTTTCCCTGTAAAGTTGCTTGACTGACAAGGGAAGCAGAGTGGGTGTAATGAGCCATTCAGCTGATGTCAAAGTCATTGCGTTAGGGCACAATCTTCAAAGCATTTGATTAAAAAACCACAACCGCAAAGTTTAAGCATAATAGGTTGTGGTACATAAAGAAAGAAGAATTTTTACAGCCTTTACAAGTATTAATACCATACTATAAATACTAATATACGTTTACTTAGATACCAGATGGACATGTTTTACTTCCTAAAGTATTTCTGATAATAATACCTTTTAAAGATTGTTAGTAAAGGAAATAATTCTTTATAATACATATGTTACTATTAGTACGCATAACAGGGTATCAGGGGGACCTAGAAATCAATGTAAGCACAAAATATGCTTTTGCCACCTTCTTATTGTTCATATGTATTATTTACAATAACTTATGTATAGCTCATACAGTAAATATAGCATATGTTTTGGTTCATTGTACTTCTTCTCTTGTATGTCTAACACTTTGTCCCATCATTTTTACAATAAAATATTATACTTTAACCTTAATAATGTTGCACAGAGCAAAGTCATGTTGCTCACAAATAATTTATTTCATTCTAGAAAAGACAATTAACTCATTTATTCACTGCCATGTATTCAAATCTGTTTATCAATAGAGTGATACAAGCTGTTGTATGCATCTCTTTCATGATAAGGGCAGGCCCCACATCATCAAAATATGAATGAAAAAATGAAGCTTTTTGTTATTTTAGATGCATTTCTGGATCTAAAATAACAAACAGCTTCATTGTGTATCACTGATGATACAGGTTTTCTGAGATTTGAAAAGAAAAACTAGCATGCATTTAAATAAATACTTTCATGTGAAATTACACACAAACATAAATATTCCACTAGTAATATGATTACAATGAAATCATGCAATGCAAAACGAAGAGAGACAACAATACTACATGCACTGTGCTCTGCTACCTCGGGTCACATCCGTGCCCCTGAAATACAAGGGCAGGATCTCTCGGACCTGCCTATTCTCAATACTGGCTCCACACTGGTGGAATGAGCTTCCTGCCAAGATTCATAGAACAGACTCCCTGGGTGCCTTCAAGAGAAAGCTGAAAGCTCATCTCTTCAAGCTTCATCTCTAGTCTACCTTCCTCTCTATCTATCTTTCTATTAAAAAAGCACTCTACACTAGTTTAGTACTTAACTCAGTATTTTACTGACCTCTTGTAATATTTTTTGACAACTACTCTTAGCATTGTGATGCAGTTATTTGGAAGTTGCTCTGGGTAAGAGTGTCTGCTAAATGACGTAATGTAATGTAATTGTATTGCACAAACAAGCCTGCATTCCTTTCTGCTTTGGTATCACACTGAAACAATTTATTGCTGATTATGTATCATTACATTTGAGGACAAGCAACACACTAAAATGTAGGTTATTTTTAAGGCCAGCCTACTTAATTTGTTGGCATGGGGATTATACTAGAAAACTTTTTCCTCAGAATATCTCTTAATTTCAGTTTTTGATCTTATTGTTGCTATTTAAATATATTCAGTTGTTTTAAGACTACTGTAATTGTTGCTGGAATTAAGGTTTCTCCTAAAATGCACCTGAGATACCACGTTATATACCAGACCAGACCAGACGTTTCATTGGAAGAACACTATGATTTCCATGTACAGTGTTATCCACATGACAAACTAATATGCAGGGATATGGCAGATAAACCATCAGGGAAAAACAGCGATAACCTTCTTGACTTGTGGCCACTGATCAACAAATCTGACATGCAAAAAATATCTGACAGCAACTGGAAATGCTGGAAATGCTATGCTATTATATTATATTATGAGTAAATGAGTGTCAAAAATAAATTTCTTTAATTTACATAACTTTCTTAAAAGCCAGAGCTGATCATCCGTTTTGTTTGACACACCCTCCTCTTTGAGACAGGCTGCTAGTGATATGTGAAATTTGGGCTTTCAATGCTGATTTTTGTTTTTAAAAAGCATCTATTTTGAAAATGAAATGTGACATGAAAAAACACTCCTGCATCTCAGCTGGAAGTTTACATTTTTTGATACTTGCACCAGATTGTTTCACCAGATCTTAAATCAATGCCCTGATGTAGCACTAGGAGCTTGGCACCTCACAGTTTTCTTTTATATTACAAACAGGCACTTTGACAGCATATAACCCCTCAATATGCACACATCATACATTCTCGCCTTTTGGGTAGTGCTGTACTGCACAATCCCAGGGCCCTACCTGCAAAGTTCAGGAAGGAGTGCTTTGCAAGTTGAAATTGAAGTTTTCTTAATTATGCTGATTGGCTCTTAGCAAGTGACATACAGTTCCAATTTAATTTCATGCACAAAAGGCAATTTTTTTCCTCTCCAAAGCTGACTCGCTGCACCAGAGTGCCTCATAAACTGTCTGTCTGAAAAAATGACTGTTTCTAGCTGCATTAACAGAGTTTTAGAGCCCCCCTGCACTGCATCCCTTGTGTTGCCCATCCCACATGCCCCTACTTTTGGGCCTTCTTATGTTGTTTTCACGAACCAATATTTAATGATGATGCAAATGTAAGATGTTCACAGTTCACTTAAAACGTTCGCTGTTGCCTTGTATGATTACACAAATGAGCTCTTAACACTGGGTAGCAAACGTGCTCACTTACAGTGCCCGGATGCCAGAAACACTTCTCCCAAAACAGTGCTCTAGGAGGGAGACAGAGAGCTGTGCTGCACATTCATGCACCAGCCCCCTGAGTCACCCCTACTCACACACTAGTGTTTGTCACCCCCAATTCCTTCCAGCACACCATTACCCCCTCTATTATTTTTTTCACCGCACATTTATCTGTCAAGCATCTACTTTATCTTTTCCCTGGTGGTCTAGTGGTTAGGATTTGGCGCTCTCACTGTTGCTGCCCGGGTTTGATTCCCAGTAAGGGAATGTGTTTTGATTACCGATAGTTCATATCTAGTTCCTCTTCTAAATGTTCTTGCTCTGATTTATTCTAATGGCTCATATAAGTGATGAGGTGGCCGAGTGGTTAAGGCGATGGACTGCTAATCCATTGTGCTCTGCACGCGTGGGTTCAAATCCCATCCTCGTCGATAAGACCTGCAATTTTAATTTCTCACAAGAAGGTGCTTTCAGTCAAACACAAGCGTACTGTAAACAGAAAGATCTGTCAAGGGTAAACATGCAAGGTGGTAGTGTAGCATAGTGATTCCGGAGCAGGACGCATAACCGAAAGGTTGCTGGTTCGATTCCCTGCTGGGGCACTGCTACTGTATCATTGGGCAAGGTACTTAACCCACAACTGTCTCAGTAAATACCCAGATATATAAATGGGTAACGTTACAAAAAAAGACTGTGACTGATGTAAGTCACTCTGGTTAAGAGGGTCTGCTAAATGCCAATTATGTAATGTGATCTCTTCTCCTACTGTTGTGCCTTGCCTCACAGCACATCTGACCCCTTGATGGCTTTCCACATTAGATTACTGTTCTTTTTCCACTCTTACTTATTAAAACACCCCAGGTCCCATTCTCCACAATCTAGGCCAGTGTTTTTCAACCCTGCTCCTCGCGGCACCCTGTCCTGCATATCTTCTATCTATCCTTGCTCTACCTACCTGACTGAACTCATCAGTGGCACATTTTATTAGCTGAGCACACCTGATTTAATCAAGCAGCAAGGACAGATAGAAGCTATGCAGGACAGGGTGCCGCGAGGAGCAGGGTTGAGAAACACTGATCTAGGCTCTTGCCACTTGAATCCAAAACAAGTGCCCTAACTCCACTGCTCCTCTCCCTACCTGCCTGTAGACGTCCTCCCGGTTGTGACATCGGGCACGCTGGTTCCCTGTGCTGGAGGCCCCATGGTCCAACCAATGATTAATCTGGTTTCCAGTCTCTGAGCTCCTGAAGGGCACACACTATGCCATGGGACTCCATCAGGTCGTTATTGTGGCTCTTGAGGCTTGGTGGGTGGTAGCTGAAGCACACCCACCCAGCTAGGGCAGAGCCATGGATGCTGCCAATATTGATCTAGTACCTTCGTCCATCAGGGCTGCTTATGTAGAAGAGCCAGCTGGTTAGAGGATTCTTATCTTGGAAGAGGCTTATCTCACTTCTTAAAGAGTGGCAGTGGTGCTCTCCCTCCCTCCATCACGGCACTGCCCCTTTCCATGTGGCTGTCTGTTATCGATCAGTATGCTTTTAGCTGGCCTGGCTTACAGCACTTCTCGGGAAAGCTCCTGTGGTCTTCCTTGAACCTCCTTACCCCACCCTGTACCAAACACACACACACACACACAGACACAGACACACACACACTCCACATCGGTGCACAATATTGCCTGCATATGAAAGGGCTGACTGCTGTACCTGTGTGTGGAAAATGCGTCATCACTTTGCACTGGCCTGGTGGAGACTTCTACCCCTTCTGTGCTACTCAGCTCTCTGCGTGCTAAGGAACCAAAACAAACCATAGTGGAGGAATAAATGGACCTGCTCAGTAAACATGGCTACTGTACATTATATACTAGGCTCTTTTTTTGCTTCATTTTGGGTGACATAACAGATGGAACTGCCCAGTTCCCTCATCTCCTCTGCACTGTCAGCTTAAACTACACTTCAGTGTAAGTGTGAGGTCTGACATACACATATACAGACATACAGATATACAGATCAAAATGAAGCTGGGACCATTTGCAAGAGTGCAACTCTTTGCTGAATTAACAGTACCAGTGACTGTGTGTCTGCTTTAGGTCTGAGCCATGAAGAAGTAAGCTTAATTGTGATACCCTCTGTACTTCAGTCATTGTGAAAATCTGTCATCTCATTGTGAATGGAGAAGAAGTGGATAGTCTGGGGTGAGAATGGGAGGAATGAGAGGACAGTAAGAACAGTGTTAGTTGAGAGGGCTGGACTGGGATTGCTGGTGTGCTGGACTTTTACAAGATTGCACTCAATATGCACACAGCATACCAACATTTGTATAGCTGCTTTTTATACAGGAACCTCCATATTTATTCATACCCTTGACTAAACAGGAACTAACAACATGATAGAAACAGATGCAAGACAATCGAAATGTTCCCTGTCATTTCATAAAAATTATAGTGTTACTGCGGGTTTACATACAATTATTTTATGACAATGCAAATTATTCAAGCAGTAGACACAAAGCCAGAACAAGTTTGCCAGAAGAGCGGTGATACCAAAGTCACAAAGACTGTGGATAAATGCCACAGTTCATAATTGACAGCAACATAGACTGTCCATATCTGGTATCACTTCAACTCCCTGCACATTGTCTGGATATACTAAGATGAGCTTGACCATGCAATGTAGATGGTACAGCTAGACTCGCCAAGTTAATGATTTTACGCACTGAACACACAGTAGCTGTACATGAGATTATGAACAAGCCCCTAGAATATATACTATATATTGTGTGGTTCTGGTATGGTTTTGGTGGTAACTTTTTGGTGTTAAGCTTCGCAGGCAACCAAAGAAGAAAGAGACATGTTGTAAAATGATTCAGTCAGTGAGTCAAACAACTGGTTTCTGGTTTAATCACTACAGTGGGACCATCGTGCCATTTCAATAACAAATAAGAAATACAATAAGCAGGCAGCAAGTGATGCATGGGCTAGTGACTCTAGGAAGCTTATGGTTATAATGCCTAGTCATGTCAAAAGCCACCACTTCTGAAATGGTCAACCTCAGCAGTTGTACTGCTTGTTAGATTAATGCCATTTAGGTAGTGCTGTTTTTGATCTAAAATTAAATTTTTGTTGTCATTTGAATTTGTTTAGAAAATGAAGACATTCAAGAGGGCCCCTGTCCACTTTGGTGGAGGGAGGTCATTTTCAGATAGCGAGACACATGCCTTTCAAAGCATTTTTATTGCTCAGCATTAAAAAGTACAATGTATATACTACATTACAAAAGAAGGCTTGCCGTTGGATACGAGTTAAACCATCCCTGCCACACACTCGCAAAACAAGAATTCAAAAACATGAACAAGAATCTTTTCTTACATGGTTCTACATCTCCTCTTGCAGTACAATACTTCCCACAGCTGTCTGCGCTGTCAGATAGTAAAAACAAAAAACTCACGAGCATGTAGCCTCAAACAAAGACGCGTATGGCTGACCTGATCTTTTGCAACACGTCTGAAGTTGAGGAACAGGCAATCAAAATATAGAATAAAAATATAGTGCAATACAAGAAAGATTAGCAGACTTGGTAACAAAACTAAAAGTTTAACACCTGTTCAGTGAATGCATTTTCCATCCTTGAATTGTGTTATTGATAGTACAATCTGGCTTCACAAACAGCTGAGGTGAGTCCGGTGAGCCACAGTGATATTTGCATTGGTGATCTTTACACCAACAAAGTCTCCTGGTCCCATTGTGTTCATGGTAATTACTGAACATAGAATACTATCTCAGTAGGTTTTATTGGTCGATTTCTACTACCTCTATTACAACCATCAATCAAGCAAACAGTCATTCAAAAACTGCACAACACAGTAAAAAACACAATTTGCTCTGGTATAGATGTACATGTGGGAGCAGTTTCAGTGTTGTTTTTGGTCTGTTTCTCAAAGGGTAGAGCAGGCCAAGGCTGATCCAGGCTGATCCAGGCTGATCTAGGCCAAAGCCATTGAAGTCATCCTCATCTGCCCTTAAAGCAGAAAATTAAGCCCAGACACCACCTCCTCCCCGAGTACCAGACCACATACACACACATACACGCACCCACACACACACGCACCCACAATACATAAACCATAAACAACATACACACTACAGAACACAGACTGGTACAGAAAAAACATGACAATTTAAGGGCTTGTTGACCAGGGGGACTGAGGCATTCACATATGGTCCCCCTGGTATTCTACAGGCTGGTGACATGTGTGGGACAGGCCCTTTCAGGATCCTGTGCTGAAATCCAGTCTGCACAACATCCCACAGATTGAAATCTCTCAGCAATTCCATCTACAGCTGGGGATCACTGTTAGTGGTCCCTCCACTCCAGCAGGGCTACTGAACATAGATTTTAGAGGGCTGTAATTGCATGGGTTTTCTAGATCTCTTTGACTCTCAGAACTGGGGAGGGAAGCTAGACCCATTCATACATGCCAGGAACCAAAGTCTTGACAATGTGGCCCTTGAGGACCAGGGTTGTTTTGCACTGGTCTTGTAGTGCATGTTCTATCTTCTACAATCTTCTATCTTCTCTCCCTCACTGACCCTCTGCCTAGAGGAACACTGTCCCACCAGCAGCTAGACATCATTAGCTAGCCACTCCACTAAACGTTGACATCTGCTCAAGTACTTAAGTACAGATTTCAAGTTCAACAGGCTTTGAATTTTAGAAATATTTTGGGTTAGACCACTGTAATGTTTATGCTTTACTTTATACATTTTCTCTCTTCAGCAGAATTTAAATGGCTGAAAATACTTTCTCACCACCAAACCACTGTAGCAAAACCAAAAAACATTGTTTTCTTTATAAAGACATAAAAACCCTTATCACAATTATGCATTCGTAGAAAATGTACATCAGAAAAATATTCTGCCGCACCCTCATAGTAAATAGCTTCTGTTTCATTAATTCATTTTTTATTCATTTATGTATATATTTTATATATAAAGCACAGTCTCTGAAAGTTTACCACATATATAAAAAATGGTTGACAACCATAGCGAAAAGGGAAAGCAATAGAGACTTCTTGAGTCTGTCTCGTTTTGATGACATCACAAAAAAGCCAGCAGTGTCTCTCTAGATATCAGAGGCCTTGTCTGTGTTAATGAAGAGCGTCTCTTGGCAGAAAGGGTTGACCAGCACCATGCCACTGTCGGGGTAGTCTCCATTGGGGGGCAAACAGGTCTCCTGCTCCTGGAACACAAGGGCACAGTTAATAGT